CCCTAAAATAGCATTTCTACCATGGGCCCACAGATGGTGTCTGGGGTTTGTGCATCTTCCGGCCACCGTTGAGAGGGCATGGCAGTGTCCCCAGACCTCATGGTCCCCTGTCTGCTGCTGCAAGTTGCTTTTGCTCCCGAGGGAACCAGTCTTCTGTGCAACCTACCTGCAGGTGACACACACATGTGGAGTTCTGAGTGGGCCCAGTGAGGACCTCTTCAAAGGCTTTGGGTTAGGAGGAAGTGGCGCCCCCTCCCACCAGGCCTGTCCCTTGGGCAGGGCAACTAGGATAGCCCCTGGTGCCATGGGAAGCTCCACCTTACTTTTCTGAACATCATTAATATTAAATTTTGAAACTTTGGGCTCTAACGCTATCTCAAGGGGCCTATGAAAGGTGCTAACCTGTCTGGCCTCCCTGCTGTTGAGTTGCTTGAGTTGCCATGGGTCATACCCTTCTGGGGACAGTCCTGCCCCAACTCCTGTAACTTGAGAGAGAGAGTGGACGGCCCAGCACAGCTCTCTCTAAGGAAGCTGCCTTCAACACACTGCTCCCCAGTCTCTACTTTTTCCACCCTTTTAACCCCTAGATCTGGATGGGAGGCTTCTGGGCAAGGGGCTCAAGAGTTGTGTAACCAATTGTCTGAGGCTCTCCCAGAAAAGGGTCCCTCCTTGTCCCTGTCTCACTCCTTGCCCTGGTGTCTGGGTCATATCTTGGTGCCTCAGTCAAAAGATATTGCCCTACACCATGTGTTTTCTTTGCTGGTAATTTACCCTGTTTGGGCAATTGTCCAGGAGACCCCAATGGATTTTATGTGCTAAGGAGGCTGGGTTGGTGCCTTGTTCTGAGCTCTGTACCACTGCACCAGTGTAGCTACTGAGAACTATGGCTGGCTGATCCAGTGACCAGTGTGGTGGGGCATACCTTGGAGAAAATGTAGTTTAGTGAGGATGTGAGGTCCCTAAGAGAGGAAGATTTAAGGCAAGCCAGTTTCCCAGGATTTCTACATTATTCAGATGCCCCACAATGCACCTTCACTTGGTTTTCTTGACAGAATCCAGCCTTTGGTATAGCTGACATACACCCCCAACATGCATGCCGCCTGGGGACGTTCACTTAATTATTTGAAATACTTGTGTGGTTCCTTCTCTCTGTGTCAGCTGTTCACTATGAGTGTATGATACAGTAGTGAATAAAATGGAGCACCCAGTTTTCCATTATCGCTCTGCACCTTCTAGTTATATGGAAAGAAGCTGCAATATACATGGCTTTGGAAATCCTTGCATCAGCTGCTCATATTCAGGCAGCTTTTCTTCAGCAATACTTCTCCTTAATTTATTATATAGATCAGCAGTGTTATGATGTGTTCTTCTGAACATGGAGGCAGAAGACCTGGGTTCTCACTTAAGCACATCCTTTAGCTTCCCTGAACCTCAGTTTTCTCATGTATACAATGACAATAACAGCAGATAGTGCCTTATCTGCCCAACCTTACAGAGTCGTGAAAGTCAGATGGACAATGCTACATGGACACTGCAGGCTGTCAACTGCTGACCAGAAGTCAGATGTTGTGGCAGGAAGCCTCCAAGATGACCCCCAGTGATCCCACCTCTTGATTTTCACACCCTTGTGTAATCCCCTCCCATTGAATGCTGGACTTAGTGACTTGCTTCTAATGAAAGACATTGTCACATCCCCCTTTCTCTCCTTGGATCACTCTCGTGGAGTGAAGCCATGTCTTGAGAATCCCTGTGGAGGATCCCACATAGTAAGAAACTAAAGCCTCCCACCAAGCCCACCCTGAGCAAGTGAGCTTGGAAGACTGATCCCCCAGCCCCAATCTAGCGTTCAGATGACTGCAGCCCCAGCTGACATCTTGACTGTAGCCTAATTGGAGATCCTGAGCCAGATTCACCTAGCTAGTAGCTCCCAGATTCCAACCCTTAGAAACTGTGTGAGGTCATAACTGTTTGTTGTTTCAAGTTGCTAAGTTTTAGGGTAATTTATTACATAGCAAAAATTAATTAATATGGATATGCTAAGTCCTTTGCCTTTAGAAAGAGTGGTGTTCACCGTGGCTCCATATAAAGAAAATCTCCAAATTTAGCATTAAGCAGACTAAATAGTACTAAGGTGGACAGTTATTTGACCAGGGTCAATGAACCATTGCTATTGATTTATTTTAATGCTATTGTCTACTACTGTGTAATTCTGTGAATTTATTCTCTTACTCTTTTAAGAAGTAAGTGATAATGATTGTATTAGTCAAAGTCCAGTCCGGCAAACAGAAATCACCCCAGTTATTTTCACAGAGAGAATTTAATAGAGCTGTTGATTGAGTAGTGAAAACTGAAAAGGCAGGGAGGAGACACTGAGGTATCAGGACGCAGCCTACACCACTAGGGCTTAGGGTGCAAATGGGAGGATAGGATTAGAACTTTGAGGAGAGTGTCACCGGGCTGGAGCAAGTACCTTTCAAGGGCAAGATGAGGCTGATTCTGGGAATATGGGGTGACAAAAAGCTGGAGACTGGAGCCAACTGAGGCTCCAAAGTGAAGTTGGCTCACAGGAACTGTGAGCACACAGGGGAGGAGCTAGTCTCCTTCCCCTCCTCATCCATCCAGGATCTTGCTCTCTAGCGCCGCCTAGCTGCAAAGCCTAACAGGGAGCTGCAGGGGAAGCAAAAATGTGGTTTGCAGAATCCCAGCCCAAGCATCATAGAGCAGGGCTGAGAGATGACAGCTGCATAAACAGCACAGTGTCAAATCTTTTCTTAATTAATGAATTATGGGTTAGTGAGAAGGCACATTCCTTGCCAAGGCTTCTCCCCCTGTTATTCACATCAGCCAGAGTCTGTAGGGGATATTGTATCACCGGAAGTTCCCTTTCTGGGTCTCTGAGATTTCCTAACAGTGCATCAAGTGCAAGGAGCCTCCATCTTGCCCAACTCTGCAACTGACTGGACACTTCTTCACCAGGTTTTCAGCTCTGGAGACCAAAGCCACCATTTGTGCCCCTCTGACTGGTTGTGCTCACTGATACGACCTGATTTGTATTTAAATTTATACTTTAAATTAGTTAGAATTAAATAAAACTAAATTTAAAAAATTCGGGCTGGCTGGTTAGTTCAGTTGGTCAGAGCGTGGTGCAGATAACACCAAGGTTCAGGGTTTGATCCCTGCACTGGCTAGCTGCAAAAATAAAATAAAATAATTAAAAATGTATTTCTTCAGTCTCGCTAGCCACAATGCAAGGGGCCCAACCGTCATATGTGGGTAGCATCTACCATATTGGACTGTACAGAATAGAACATTGCCATCATTGCAGAACATTCTATTGGTCACAGCTGTCCTACTGTCTTTAAAATGCTCATAGGAGGGAAAAATACTAATAAGATATTGGATCTTCAAGAAGAGGATATAGTAGGTAGCTTCTCCAAACCTTTTGTTGTTGTTGTTGTTGTTAACCAATGAGCCCTTTGTCTTCATTCATTAAAATTCAGGAAACCTGCTTTGGTTGTGTCATCTTGAGACAGGCCTTTAATTTCTCCAGGTGTCGGTGTTCTGTTCATGCCTCAGCCATGGTCGTCTCTGAGTTTGCTGTCTTATTCTCAACCTCTGCATCTGCTGATGTCACATCCACATTTCCCCTTTCCTCAGGCTTAGTTTCAAGGAAAACAAAAGAATTTACTTCCATAGCCCTTGATTGACCTCCCTGCCCCATCTCTCCCCTCAACAATCCCTCACCTTCCTGCTGCTGTATCTGGTCACTACCTTCCCTGTGGCAACCTCTGGTGGCTCATGAGCCACAGGAGAAAGTCCAAAGCCAGAGCCTCGGAACACACAGCTTGCCACCCGGGCTGCGCTCCTGGCGCGGCCTCCTTCGTTCTTCCCACACCCTGTCTGTGTTGATTATTGCTTGTCGTTTCCTGGACCTTCTCTCTGTACTTGGCACACGTGCACCTTTGCCCAAGCTCATCCCCCTGCCTGGACCTCCTCCCATCCCTTTGTCTGCCTGTTTGACCTTGACCTTCGCAGCAGGAGCCTACTCCACAGACGCCCCAGCTGCTGCCCCTTCGGAGCACGTTCATGGCAAGATCGCGCTTTACCTGGGCTGCTGCCTGCTAATGACTGAGCCTGGAAGGGGTATTAGAGCCACTGTGGGACTCTTCCAGTGGGCAGCTTTTGGCCAGAGACCTACCCCAGTGACCTGGCTGACGCTCTCTCAGGGCTGCTCTGAGACTCTCCCTACCCAATCCTTCCTCTCCCCACTCCCCACTATCTTTCCCAGGGGCTAGACCTGCCTGTCCCCCCCCCCCCCCTCCTTCATAGACCTTCTCCCT